AAATTCCCTGGACCTTGGTTTCTTCATAAGTAAAATGAGGGGTTTGGAAAAGATAGCCTGTGGGGTTTCTTTCAGCTCCAGGCCTACGATCCTATGAACTAAAACGAGAGGGTTAGAAATTGCAGTCTATAAATGTAATGGAATTATTGTTGGACCCTAAGAAATGACGAATATGAAACATTCAGAGGAAGGGAAGGCTTACATTCACTAAATTAAAAGGAACCATGAAAATAACAATTTAAAGGGGGAGGAAAAAAAGCTAAACACTGTAATTATAATGAACAAACTTGGCCATGGGAAAAAGTTGTTAAAAAAGTACCTCCTTCACTTTATTAAAGAAATGAGGGATTGGGACTGTGGAATATTGCATACACTGTTCAATACCCATTATTTAGTAACGAGTTTTGCTAAACAGCTTTTATTTCCCCCTCTTTTTAAAATCTGTTACAAGGGATGGTTTGCTTGGTAAGGAAGAAACAGTGATGATAAATTCAGAAATAAAGGTGCTGTAAGAATGAAAGATAATAAAAATTTCTTCTAAAAAATCCAAATACAATAAATTTAAAGAAATATAGGAAAATTGATAAGTGATGAAGTAAGTAGAACCAGACGGTTCTACAACTACAATAATATAAACTAAAATGAAGACAAACACTAAATGACAATAACAAAGATCTTGGTCAAAGAAATGAGGAAACATCTCCTTTTTGGTGAAGGTAAGAGACTATGTTACTTATGTTACATATACTGTTAGGCGAATTCACTGTGTCAGTTGAGTTTTGCTTAATTGTTTTTCTATTACAAGGGGAAAGTATGCTCAGAAATGACTGACATAAAAAGGGATTAATTTTTGTATAGGAAAAATAAAATAAAAATGAGGGGGCTGGATCACTTATATATAGGGTTCCATCCTTAGAAAAAAGGATGGAACTTCACCTGGCTCTCCACTTTATTTAGAGGCAGCTGTGGAGCTGTGGCTAGACTGCTGGGCCTCAAGCCAGGAAGACCTAAGTTCAAATCAGACACTTACTAGCTGTGTAACTCTAGGCAAATCACTTAACCTTAATTTCCTCAACTCCAAAATGGGGACAAATAATAGCACCTACCTCCCAGGGTGGTTGTGAGGATGAAAGGTGATAATATCTGCAAATATTTGGCACAAAGTTAGCACAGCATGTACTAGTCACTTCATGAGTGCTTGTTTCTTTTCCTCCTTTCCTAAAAAAAACCAAGGCCATTCAATTTCGCTATACCTATGCCACAACTCAGAACCTGAACACCTTCGCCTTTTCTTTCATACTTTATTTAATCTAGGTACTAGAGAAGAGGTAGTCGTCATCTAGACCACCTACCTCTCTTCAAACGTCCTTGAAGCCATCCCCTCATGAACCAAGCTTCTAAGAAAGCTATCTCCTCTTACTGTCCTCACATAAGATCATAAACTTAGAACTGGAAGAGACTTTACATGTCATCTAGTCCAAGTCCTGCATTTTACAGATGAATAAACGGAAACCTGGAGTGGTTAAATAAATGGCTTGCCAAAGTTCCCACAGCTAGGACTTGAATTCAGGTCCTCTGACTCCAAATCCAGCGCTCTTTCCACCATACCAGACTCAACCGCTGTCTTCCCACTCAACACTTGTGAACTCCTTACAATCAGGTGTCCCATCCTACTCACTGAAACTGCTCTCTCCATGGTTACCAATGATCTCTTAACGGCTAAATCTGATCCTCTATGAACAGACAGTTCTCAAATGAAGACATTCAAATTATATTAACCACAATATCAAACAACACTCCAAATCACTAATAAAAGTAAATTAAAACAATTCTGAGATTCCACCTTTTACCCATAAAATTGACAAAGATGACAAAAAAGGAAAATGATAGCTGCTGAAGTAGCTGTATGGAAAACAGGCACACTAATGCACTAACGGTGTGAAGTGCTCCAATCATTATGGAAAACAATTTGGAAGTATGCCCCCAAAGTCACAAAACAGTGCATTTGACCCAACTGTGCAAACTCTGACCCAGCAGTACAGTAGGCTTATAATCCAAAGAGATCAAGAAAAAGAAAAAAAGGACTCAGGTAAAAAAATACATATATTTATAGCAACTTTTTTTGTAATGGGAAAGAACTGGAAACCAAAGAGATGTTCATCCCTCGGGAAATGGAATAACAAGTTGACATGTGTCAATGTAATGGAATATTGCACCATAAGAACTGACAAAAGGGACAGCTTCAGAGAATCCTGGGAAGTCCTGTATTAACTAATGCCAAGTGACACGAGAAGAATAAGAGGGATAATCTATATAGCAATGACACAAGACTTAAAACTCTGATCAAAGCAAGAACTAAATACAATTCCAGAGGACCAATGATGAGTATGCTGCCCACCTCCTAACAGAGATGTGCAATGAGATATATTTTTGGACAAAGCCAATGTAGAAATTTGTTTTGCTTGATGATACAGATTTGTTACAAGGGATTTTTTCAATCTGGGGAAAGAAACGGGAACTGGGATATTAAGGATAGGTTACCCCTCCCAACAAAAGGAAAAAAAGAAAAGAGGATTATTGAAGCATTTTTTAGAAATGTACACAAAACAGAAGCAAGATTATTTTGAAAGTTACCTGCTCAAATTGATATATATATAGATAAACATAAATAAAAGGAGAAGTTGTGCTTAACAGAGATTCACAGTTTCGTGTCCAGTCCTTTCTATTCTACTTTGTATATATAAAAATTCATTTTATTTGATGTTTCTTAAGTTCAGAATAAAAATAAATAAATCTGATCCTCATCCTCTTGAACCTCTCTAAAGCTTCTTATGCTGCTGACCACTCTGTCCTGGTCCTAGATATTCACTCTACCTTTGGTTTCTGTCTATCCAGCTACTGCTTTTCTGCCTCCTTTCCAAGTTCATCATTCAACTCTCATTCCTTAATATAGATGCTCCTTAAGAGTCTTCTGTTCTGGATCCTCTCTATTCTCTCCTTTGGTATTCTCGAAAGTTCCTATGGTTCCTAAGAATGATTCCTAAGTCCCTCTCCTGAACGCCAGTTCTACATTACCAACTACCTCCTGGACATCTCCACTTGGATATCTCAGGGACAAGGATGTTCAAGGATGTGTCTGGCTCAAAATGTCCAAAACAGAATTTGTCATCTACCCTTCTTTGAACTTCCCTCTCTCAAAGGCATTATCAATCCTCCTGGTTACATGAGTTCATGACCTCAGAATAATCCTTGGCTCTTCCCTCCCCTCACTCTCCATATTCCATCAGTAGCCAAGAACTGAAGACTTTACCTCTACAACATTAGTATTTTTCCCCTTATCTCTATTTATCCTACTTCAGGCCCTCACTACCTCTCTCCTGGACTACAACAGCCTCTTACCTGATCTGTTTCTAGTCTCTACTCTCTAACCCATCTCCCAACAAAGATGCCAAAATAATCTTCCTAAATCAGAGGCCTAACCATGTCACTTCATTGTTCAAATTATTTACCCTTTGCACCTAGGGTAAAATTCATACTCCTTTGCCTGGCATTTAAAACTTCCATTATTTCAGTCCAATCTGTCTTCCCAGTCTCATTTCACATTTCTCCCCTTTTGTGCACTCTATGTTCCAACCAAATTGGAATACTAGCTGTTTGTTAACTTAAGTTTGTCCCAAACCTAACATATTATCCATTATATTTGTGTAAACCATCCCTCATTCCTGGATTACACTCTCCTCATTTCCAGGTCTCAAAATCCATACTACCAAGTTTAACTAAATGACCTCTTAGATCATTTTCCATGCCTTTGAGATTTGTGAAATCTATGACCTTCCTTCAGGGCTCAGCTGAGGTCCTACTTTCTACACAAACATCCCTACCCCTCCCCTCAAATATTATTATTTTTCCCTCCTCAAATCACCTTGTGTCTATTTATCTGCGAACATGAAGAATCTCCTCTCTGTCACTCCCAAGTAGAATATAAACTCCTTCTCACCACACATACAGGGTAAACTTCATTGATCCCCTGTTGCCTGTGGGATCCTCTGGCATTTAAAGCTCATCCCACCTAAGCCCCTTCCTGACTTATTGGTCTTCTTACACATTACTTCTGGCCAAACATTCTACTGGACAATTTCCCATACTTCACAGGACACTTCATCTCCAGTTCCCAGAGTTTGCACTAGCTGGAATGTACTCCCTTCTCAACCCCCCTACCCCCACCCCCACACCCACCTCCCGGGACTCAAAATCCCTGGCTTTCTTCAAGACCCACCTTCTACCTGAAATGTTTAAGCTGCTCTCATTCTCTCACCCCACTCCTTCACCACTCAGGTACTCTTCCTCCTTAAATTACTTTACATAAATTTTGCATATATACCTATATTCATACATGTCTTTCCTACAAAGCTCAGAGAGCAAGCACTATTCCACTTTTGCCTCTCAATCCCAGAAATTAGCATAAATTCCTTACACTTAGCTAGCATATAAAAGCTTACTGACTGAGGACTGGGGAATGTTTCATTTTTGCCTTTGGTTTCCAAGATCAAGCAAGTGATTAAATACTAAATAAATATTAACTAAATTGGAAAAAAAGAAACTGACTTTCTCCATCCTTTACTTCCTCCCCTGTCCAAAAAGCAACATTAACAAGGGCACAAAACTAGTAACTAAAGTTCAGCAATAAGTTTCAAATGTGGAAATAAAGTATGTTAAATTTGTTTTTAAAATGTCTATTTATACTACCAATTGAGTTGTCAAGGATATAGTGAAGTTATGTTTTCTTGGAGATCTTTAAGGATAAGGTATATAATGTAACTGAAAGGTAGAAAATGGGTCTAGATGACCTACTGAATTCTCTTAGGGGGGGCTTAGATTATCTTTCAATATGACCTTTTAAAAATTCAAAATGTCAAGATAATATTTTAAAAAACCCTTCATTGATTATTTTTCTGTTGAAAGAAGAGTCCCCTCCCACATTAACAACTACTTGATATTACCATGTTTTATTCATAATACTTCATCCTACTGTGGCAGTCAGGTCCAGGAGCTGGTGTAGTGGAAAGAGCAGACAGAGTCAGCAGATCTAGTCTCTAGTCTCAGCTCTGCCACTAACTAGCTGCATGATGTTGGGCAAGCCACTTGCCTCTCTGGGCTGTTTCCTCATCTGTAAAATGAAGAGGTTGGACTAGATGATGTCTAAGGTCCCTTCCAAGTCTAAAATTCTAAAATTCTAAGAAAACAAGCCTAAGAGGTAAGCACTTCTTGGCTTTTTTTTTGGTCCACCTCACACTTTGCCCAAAATTTCCACCTTATAAATTTACATTACATCACTTCAGAACTAGTCTTCTTATAGTTGCTCCTAGAGATCAGGGACTGTCTTTTGCTTTTCTTTGTATCCCCAAGGCTTAGCACAGTGCCTGGCACATAGTAAGCACTTAATAAATATTGACTGACACCTATATGTATACATACATATATTTGCCTTAAGTGTTTAAAGATGTCACACTCCACTCCAGACCAAAGAAAGGGAAGAAGAGAAGGGAGGTAGTGAGGGAAAGGAAACGGTGAAAAAAAGGGTTTTTGGAGAGGGGGGAGCGAGGGAGGTGAAGCATCAGGACATTTTGGAGAATGGCAGGTGCCTGGAATGAATGGTAGGTAGGGTGAAGTTTAAAGGGCACAACTCTGTCAATTCAAAATCAACCCTGATGGCTCGTACAAGGCCCTGCTGAGTAACACTGTGTGCGTCTATGGGGAAGTGATGAGTTAGGGGTACGGGAGGATATAATGGGGGGGAAGGGGGAGGGAGCTAAAAGGAGGAGGTGGCAGGATGGGGTGGGGGTGGGGCTCAGATCCCTGGCGGAGAAAGACAGGGAGGGGAGGCCGTTGGTAGCAGCGGGCATACATTTTGCAAGGGCGTGCGTGGGGCAAGCGGAGGGGCGGGGGTGGGGGCGAGGCTGAGGAGGAGGGACGGGCGGGGGAGGGGGGGTGCCTGCCCACCCAGCTCCTCGTGGCACGGCAGTCGGGCCCCTCAGCGGCGGGGCCAGGCCAGACGGGCTGTAAAGCCCTGCCGGGAGGCTTGGAGTCTCCACAGGGGCTGCCTGGCCCGAGCTGCAGCTGCTGTCTTAAGGCGGTGGAGACGAAGACGTCCTCAAGCCTGGTCCCCGTCTACTCTCCGGTCCCCGGGCCCTTTCCACACCCGCCGCCGCCCGCCTTCCTGCCTCCCTTCCCGGGGCCGGGCCCAGCCCGCCTCTCTCCGCTCCCCTCCCATCCCTTCCCGTGCGCTCCGCGGCGCCCACTCACCCGCCGCTGAGGAAATGGTACCGTCTTTGCGGCCTCTAGGGCTCCGGATTACGAGTGGCCGAAGCCGGTCCTGGAGTTTCTGCGCGCCGTTCGCCCGTGTGATTGATACCGAGGCGCCTGCCTGCTCGCATAGGCCGCAGAGCCAGCCGCGCTGCGCGGGGTGCTCTCGGACGTCCTCCGCTAGGCCGGCGTGCACTGCGGCCCGAAAGACTCGGAGGCGGGAACCATAGAGAACAGCGCCTTCAAGAGTCGCCTGCGTTGAGCGACGCCTCACCACGCAGGAGGCGGATAATCAGAGAGAAGGCTGGGAAGGCTAGAGACGCCCGGATCGAAGGGGCGGGAACTTCCGTCGCTCGCCGCCATCTTTGCTTGGGGCCGATTGACGTTCGCGACGCCTTGACGCCATCTTGAGGTCAAGGTGGCTGAAGGGCTGAACTGCCGAAGGAGCCTCCCGCTGCACTTGACGTTGGGCCTCACTTGGGTCGTTGGGCATCTCGACGAAGCTCGGGCTCCTTTTCCAAAAGGAGGACTCCCTAATAGCCCTTGGGACTCCCTACCCAGGAGGGGTTGCTGATAGCTCCCGATATTGGACTCCAAGAGCCAGCGATCCCAACCAGAAATCAGAGCCTTGGCCACTTTCAGATGTTCCTTCTCCGAGAATTACTTGCCCCAGGTTGTGGTTGGTGAAAAAAAGAAAGAAAAAGAAAAACCAGCATAGAGGGCTTTAGTGCGACGTTGGGGTCCAAGCAGGAAGGGATCTTGGAGGCCCTGGTCAGCTCTGTAAGGCCTGGCAGTACTGGCCAGAGGGTCATAGGCCTGCACTCATACCACAGGCCAGCAAAAATGCCAGACTGATGTTGACCCATGTAACTTCTAAGTGAGCTCACTTGGGGTTTTTTGGGGGGGGAAGGGGGTTGTGGGGAGGGGTTAAGAATTTAGTCGGATTTGTGGTTTCTTTTGGTGCCCTCATAGATAGACCCCTGGTTTTTCTGTTTCTGGCTTAATTAGGGATTTGCCTGGGGAACTGAAAGGTTAAAACTTTCCCTGGTTCTGACGGCTAATAAATGTTTGAGTTGAAAGATTGGCATCTTCTTTAACAAAGGTGATATTTGCATAAGATTTGGTAATCATTTGTCTCTCTTTTTGGGACCTTCCCCCTGGTTGTGGCTGTTCCTAATCTTTACTGGCTTTATCTCTTTCATCTACTTGTTTAGAGGTGAACTGTCCAACCCTTACTTAACCCAAAAATCCGCTCTGCCACTTGGAGGGGAAGGGGCGGGGAGGGAAAGATGAAGGAAGGGGAATAGGAAGCTGGGATATTTTTGAATAACTGATTGTTAGGAAGTTTTTAACCATTCTTCCAGGTTTTCTGCTCCTGGTTTTTCTCCCCAGTGCCAAGCAATTTTACTAACCTTAAAATGCTTGAAGACAGTTCCTATCATCCCTGACTTACAACCTAAATCTCTTCTCCAGGATAAGCATTCTCTTTTCTTTTAGCTGATCTTCATGCCACACCATCACAACACCCCTCATTTTGTCATACTGATTGATGTTCATCTGGGCTTGGAAACAGGAAGACTCATGTTCCTGAGTTCAAATCTGGCCTCAGACACTAGTTGTGTGACCCTGAACAAGTCACATCACCCTGTTTGTCTCAGTTTCCTCTTCTGTAAAATGAGCTGGAGAAGAAAATGGAGATACTACTCTAGTATCTTTGTCAAGAAAACCCCAAATAGAGTTTTGAAGAGTTGGACACTACTGAAACAACCAACCAACAAGTATTAAGTATCTGCTAAATTCACTGGACCCACTGATTGATGGCAGAGATACAAAGATAAAACAAAAAATGGTCTCTGATTTCAAGGAGTTTACATTCTACTAGAAGAATACTTGTAAATACATTTATTTGATAATTTGAGGAGGAATGTGAACTAATTATTGAATGACATATCCCTCGCTATTCTGAGACAAAGTTAAGGAGGGAGTGCATTATAGGCATGGGAGACAGCTTGTGCAAAGTTATGGAAGAAAAGATGAATATTAGGTTTGGGGAGTGAATAACAAATAGAGCAGACTAGTTGGAACTTAGAATACGTGAAGAGGAATAATTTGGGATGGTTAAGCTGGAAGACTACCAGGACTTCAAATGCCAATATAAAGAGTTTGCATTTAGAGGCAAGGAAGAGCCACTGATAGTTCTTGAAGATGGCTTGATTTAAAAAAACAAACAAGTAAACAACTAGGGTCAGACTTGTAATTTAGAAAAATCATTTTGGCAAATGTCAAGATATTCCCCTTCTGCCCTCTCTGGAACTTTGCTCCATTGATCAGTCTCTTCCTCTAACTCCTTCCCTAATGCAACATGTTTAAATCTTCCTTAGCATAAAAAACCCTTTTCTTGATCTTGCCATTCTTCCAAGATTCTATTTCATACATATATATATATGTATATGTATATGTATATCTTGTAGAAAAAGCAATCTACACTCTTTACTTTCAGTTCTACCCTCTTCACCCATTCCTCCCCATGCAGTCTGGCTTCCACCCCCAGTTTCTGTTGGAATTCCTTTCTGCTCACAAGAAGTCACAAGTGACTCCTTATAAATAAACTCCACAGGTACAGGATAGGGAAGAGATGACTAAGCAGTAGTTTGTTTGAAAAAGATCTGGGGATTTTCATGGGCCACAAGCTAAATATGAGCCAGTAGTTTAATGAGGCAACTAAAAAAGTTAATGCCTTCTTGAGCTACATGAAGAATAGTTTTTAGGAATAAGGATGTGATGGCCCTTCTGTACTCTGCCCTAAGGAGAGCATATCTAGAATATTTTGTTCATTTTTGGGTACCACAGTTGAAGAAAGATATAGATAAGTCAAGGAGCACACAGAGGAGGGCAAACAGAATGGTAAAAGTCTTTGAGTATATGTTGTAGGAGGATCAATTGGAAGAACTGAGAAAGTTTAGCCTGAAAAAGAGAAAACTTAAGTAGGAATGTGATAATAGTCTTTAAGTATTTGAAAGGCTGCCTTGTGGAAGAAGTATTAGACTTGTTGAGTTTCACCCCAGAGAGCAGAACCAAGAAGAATGGATAGAAGTTGCCAGGGGGCAAATTTAGCTTAATGTTCTAACAATTAGAGCCTTCCAAAAGTTAGGTAGGCTTCCTTGGAATGGGGCTAGATTCCCTCTCATTAGAATATTTCTGTGAAATACTGGATGACTCCTTTTGAGTATGGCCTGGACTAAATGGCCTCAGAGTTCCCTTGCAACTTTAAATTCTGTGATTTTCAGTGATCTTTTTTGTCTTCTTCCTTTTTGACCTTTTTTATAGTATTTGATACTGTTGACCACTTCCTCCTTCTAGATCAGGAGTTCTTAACATTTTGCCATGGACCCCTTTGACAATCTGGTGAAACTTATGGAACCCTCTTCAGAATGTGTTTTTTTTTTCTTTTTGGTGAGGCAATTGGGGTTAAGTGACTTACTCAGGGTCATACAGCTAGTAAGTGTCTGAGGCCGGATTTGAACTCAGGTCCTCCTGACTCCAAGGCCTGAGGTCTATCCACTGCGCCACCGAGCTGTCCCCAGAATGTTTTTAAATTGATAAAATGCATAGAATTACAAAGGAAACCAGTTATATTTAAATACAGGTTATCAAAATAAAGCAAGTCCATAGAAATTAAATTAAGAATCCCTGTTCTAGGGGCAGCTAGGTGGCACAGTGGATAGGACACTGGCCCTGAAGTCAGGAGGACCTGAGTTCAAATCCGGCCTCCAACCAAACACTTGACACTTACTAGCTGTATGACCCTAGACAAGTCACTTAACCCCTATTGCCTAAAAAAAAAAAATCCCTGTTCTAGATATTCTTTTGGCCTTCATTTGGTTCTCCTACTTGTCTGCCTGCTCCTTCATAGTCTTCCTTCTGACCCTAAGTGTGCATTTCCCCAGAGCTCTAATCCTTCTTCTCTATGATCTTTGTCCTTTGATAATCAGTTCAGTTATCATTTCTATGCAAATGACTCCTAAATCTATATATCCAGTCCTAATCTCCTGAAATCTATCCAGTATTACCAAATACCTCCAGAAAATCTCCACCTGGATATCCAGTCAGCATCTCACACTCAACATTTCCAAAATGGAACTCATATTTCCCACCAAACCCATCCCTCCTAGAAACTTAGACATTATTATGTTCGAGTCATCCGTATTCACAATCTCTGATTCCTCTTTTTCTTTTCTGTGTTCCTATTCTATAGCCAATAATTTGCCAAATCTTGGAAGTAGCTCTGTGGCACAGTAGATAGAGAAGTGAGCCTAGAGTCAGGAAGACCTGAGTTCAAATCTGGCCTGAGACATTTCCAAGCTGTGTAAGCCGGGGCAAGGCATTTAATTGGCCTGCCTCACTTTCTCTAAGTGTAAATTGGTGATAATAGTAGCATCTACCTTGAACGATTGTTGTGAGGATCAAATGAGATAATATCTGTAAAAAGCTCTTAGCACAGTGCCTGGCATATGGTAAGCAGTAGCCATATAAATGCTTATTGCTTTCCTCTTCCCTGCCTCCACATCTCTTACATAGTCTACTTGTAAAACTTCCCTAGTAGTTTAGGCCCTCATCACCTTTCCCCTGGATTATTTCAGTAATTTCCTAATTTTGTTTTCCTTATTTCAAGTCTCCTCCCACCACAATCCTCCACATGGCTTCCAAACTGATATTCCTGAAACATAGATGTGACTGTATCACACACTAGCACTCAGGAATTTCCAGTGGCATAAAATATAAAACTCCTTAGTCTGCCATTTAAGGTCCTTGACAACCTGCCTCCCATCTACCTTTCCAGTCTTAATTTATATTACTTCCTTTTACGCATTCACCATTCCAATGAAACTGGCTAGCTAGCTGTTCCCTATACACTACATTTGTCTCCCACCTCTGTACGTTTGCATAGGTGATTTCTTGGGTCTAGAATGTACTGTCTTCAACTTTACTTTGTAAAATGTCTAGTTTCCTCCAAAGCATTGATGGGTCCCACCTTTCCTGATTCTCTCTCAAAGTTGTTAGCACTCTCTCCTTTTTGAAATCACTTTATATTACTTAATATATATACTTTGTATTTATTTACTTATTTTTGTCTTTGTACCCTCATTCCCAGCACCTGGCACATAATAAGTGGTATTAAATAAATGT